GTTGGTTCAATTTCATGTTTAGTGTTTAATATCAAGCTTGGTATACAAAAGTGTAGCATATTTTAAATTGAATTTAAGATCAAGTTCAGTTCCTCAATATGTCTCAATAAGCTTGGGACAAGTCTAATATCTGGAACTTAATTGATTTATGTGAATTTTCTCTTACTCCATATATAATCCTTATGTAATTAAATTCCTCTGCATGATGACCTGTTGTGCTGACTTTCCTTTTCTAGCTTCTGCAATGGTTTGTTTATTTGGTAGAGACTGAAAATGAGGTTGTGTTAGCATTATTCTTAGCAATGCATTCAGGCTGTTTGTTAATATGCTTAAAAAAATTGAATTTTTTTGTACTGTGTTGTTCTTAACAAAAAAGAAGAAGAAGTAATAGTTGTGTTTCTTTTACAAGTTATATAAAGTTAAATAATTTAGTTCAATGTATTAATGTGAAATAAAATAAAGTTCCTTTTATTCAATCCAATAGAAAGAGGGGAAACTCACAAGGGATGGCCAGTATAACACTAATAGTTTTCTTCTTTCTTCATTGCTTGATTATAGTTCTTTTAATCCTAAGACATTTATCAAGAACATTAGATAGAGTTGGTTGTTAGTTAGTGAAGAAACTAATTGAGGGACCTAAGTGTAGACAAAAGAACTTTGAGGGTCATATTGTTAGAGAGGGTGAAGAGCACGTGATTCTGTTAAATAGAACAGTGCCCTCCAGAACTGTANGGGTCATATTGTTAGAGAGGGTGAAGAGCACGTAATTCTGTTAAATAGAACAGTGCCCTCTAGTTGTATTCATTCTTCTTCTTCTACTGAAGCAAAAATGCTCCTTTTCTCTTCGTCTCTTCTCTTCATTTCTTCTTTTAGATTTCGTCAGATTCATCTCTAGATTCAATCGCATGCTATGAAACTTGATTCATAGAGTATAGATTCAACAAATTTACATGGTATCAGAGCCTCGATTGCTGTAATTGTGCAGATCAGAGTATTGTAGTTGCAGAACTTTAAGCTCAGTCATGGCGACAAATGAGATTGCACAACTAACTCACAATCATCCATTGTTTCTTCGAGATTCAGATGCACCTTGAATACCATTGATCTCGTTAAAGCTCACAGGGCCAGAAAACTATGCCCTATGGAGCAGAGCAATGAGGGTTGCATTGTCAGTGAAGAACAAGTTAGGGTTTGTGAACGGTACATGTGTAAAAGGATCGTACAAAGGAGAATTAGAGACACAGTGGGAAAGATGCAATGCTATTGTAGTTTCGTGGTTGAGTAGCACTGTAGCTAGTGAATTGGTGCCTAGCATCATGTATGCTTCTAGTGCAAAGAAGGTATGAGATGAGTTTAAAGAGAGATTTGATAAGGATAATTTGACTAGGATCTATCAACATTAGGCTGAGATTGCAAGTCTAAAGCACTAAAGCAAGGAACTGAGTCAGTTACCTCATATTTCTCAAAAATGAAGGATTTATGGGATGAATTGGACATTTTAGGACCATTGCCCTCTTGTGACCGTGAAGAATCGAGGTCGTATGTGGAACATCTAGTGAGGCAAAGATTGTTGCAGTTCCTTATGGGACTCAATGAGAGCTACAGTCCAGTGAGAAACAATATACTGCTGAGAAGGCCAGTTCTATCAGTTAATTAAGCTTATGCAGTAGCTATACAAGAGGAGAGTCAAAGAACACTAGGTGTTGTGCAATCAAACAAGGAACCGCTGCCAGTGCTTGCAGGAAGGGGTCAAATGTTCAAAGGCAAGAAACCAGGACTGATTTGCGAGCATTGTGGTTATAAAGGTCACTTGAAAAAGAACTGCTACAAAATAATAGGCTATCCTCCAGATTTCAAAAGCAAGAAGAAAGGGCAACAAGGTACATATAAACCTTTTGCTAATAATGCTAACACAGATGCAGGTATTGAAACCAAAACTCAACCACAAGGAAACTATCTCACATCAGAACAGTACAAACAATTGGTAAACCTGTTAGAGAAAACTTCACTAGAAGAAAGGAGTGCAGGACCATCAGGGTTGACAGGATCTTCAAACATGGCAGGTATTATGTCATTGATGTCTAATGTATCCAATGTATGTGTATATGATTGGATAATAGACTCAGGATCATCACACCACATAACATTTTGCAAAAATGTATTGGATTCCATTAGACCTATAGAGGGACAAAGTAGTTATGAAGTTCAAACACCTATAGGAGATAGATCTGAAATCACACATGCTGGAGATGCTACAATCCTAGAGAATAAGAAAATTAAGAATGTTTTATATGTGCTTTAAGTTCAACTTGCTCTCAGTGACCAAGCTGACTAAGGACTTATGTTGCTCTGCATATTTTTTCTCTGGTTTCTGTGTATTTCAGGGATTATACAATGGCAGGGTGCTGGGGATTGGTAAAGAAGATAGTGGACTTTATATACTTAGTAGAAGAGATGTTGTTGCTGCTGGTTCATTTCACAAAGAAGGAGTAACAACCACACTGTGGCATCAAAGGCTAGGACATGCCTCTACACATGCTATGCAACACTTGCCGGATTTGAAGAATAAAGTGAAGCTAGAGATGCAAAAGAACTGTCAGATTTTCCCTTTAGCTAAACAAAGTAGACTGAACTTTCCTATAAGTAATAGTAGTTCAAATTGTGTGTTTCAATTAGTGCATGCTGATGTATGGGGTCCTTACAAGGTAGCAACCAATGATAGAAAATAATATTTTGTCACTTTGGTTGATGACTGTAGTAGATATACTTGGACTTGTTTGCTGAAATCAAAATGTGAAGTTTTTTGTTGTATTGAAAGATTTTCTTTCTTTGGTAAAAAATCAGTTTGGTGTAATGGTTAAGACATTGAGAATAGACAATGGCACAAAGTTCTTCAACAATCAGTGTAGTGAGTTGTTCGATTCACTTGGGATTGTGCATCAAAGCAGTTGTCCATTTACTCCACAACAGAATGGAGTAGTGGAAAGGAAACACAGGAACATCCTGGATGTGGCTAGAGCACTCAAGATTCAAAGTAATATGCCAGTCAGATTCTGGGGAAAATGTGTTAGAACATCAGTATACCTAATCAACAAGATACCCACACAGGTCTTAAATAAAAGATCTCCCTATGAATTGCTATATGGTAAACAACCAAGTATAGACCATTTAAGAGTATTTGGTTGTTTATGTTATGCCAGTACCCTACCTAGAGGAGATAAGTTTGCTCCTAGAGCAAAAAGGGCAGTAATGATAGGGTATTCAGAGACACAAAAGGGTACAAACTATTTGATTTAGAATCTAACATTTTCATTGTTAGCATGCATGTAACCTTTAGAGAAGATGTTTGTCCTTTTCAAGGTGAAGAAGCTTGTCAAGAAGATTTGTTCATTCTTGTACTAGTAGCCATGAACACTAATGTACCAAGAACATATGGTGGTGATGTTCCTGCTGCAAATCAGGAAGACTTAAGCAATGGAAGTATGGAGGAAGAGGCAATCCCTGCAGAATCATCAGATGCAGATTTGGATGAGTCAGCATGAGTAAATGCAAATATTCCAAATGCATCAGAAGATGTTGTAGTTGAACCTCTAGCCATTATGGAGGAAACTGAAGCAAATTTTCAAGAACAACAAGCAGCAACTCAACAATTGCAGTCGTTTGAACCTGCTAACAATGCAGAAGCTCCTATCCTTAGGAAATCCACTAGAGGCACAAAACTAGCAATTTGGCTCAAAGACTATGTTACTGGCATCAGGACACATTGCCTATCCAATCTCCAATTATGTCACCTACACACATTTTCCAGAACACTACCAAGCATACCTTACCAGTTTCTCTGCCCTCACATAACCAAAGACTTTCTATGAAGCCTCTACAGATGAGAGATGGATTAAAGCTAGGCAAGAAGAAATTCAGGCACTTGAAGCTAACAAAACTTGGGAGATTGTAGAGTTGCCGCCAGGAAAGAAAGCAATTGGCTCAAAGCGGGTGTACAAAATCAAATACAATGCAAATGGTGAGGTTGACAGGTTCAAGGCACGCTTAGTGGCTAAGGGCTATACACAACAGGAAGGTCTTGACTACCATGAGACCTTTTCCCCTGTTGCAAAAATGGTCACAGTGAGGACTGTGATTAGCCTTGCAGCCTCTAAAGGTTGGAAATTATTCCAAATGGATATAAACAATGCATTTCTGTAGGGTGATCTTTATGAGGAGGTATGCATGACTTTGCCACAAGGATTCCATAGACGGGGGGTCTCAGGTTTGCAAGTTACTTAAGTCTCTTTATGGACTCAAGCATGCATCAAGGCAGTGGAATATAAAACTGACTAATGCTCTTACTGAGGCAGGATACATGCAAAGTGCCTATGATCATTCCTTGTTCACAAAGAAGTCAGGAACAGACTTGATGATCATTTTAGTATATGTGGATGACTTAATGATTATTGGGAGCAGCAGTGATATCATAGATGAAGTTAAAAGGACCTTACATAAGTCTTTCAAACTCAAAGACTTGGGAGAACTAAGGTATTTTTTGGGAATTGAAATCATGAGATCACATAAAGGCATACTACTGAATCAAAGAAAGTATGCACTAGAGCTTATATCAGAATTGGGACTCAGTGGTGCAAAGACTGCAAGTTCACCTTTTGAGAAAAATCAAAAGCTTACTACTATTGACTATGATAAGCATATAAGACTCAAAGGAGATGAGGAGCTGACAAATATTGGAGGCTATCAGAAGTTGATTGGGAAGTTGATCTATTTGACCATAACCAGGCCTCATATCTGCTTTGCAGTACAGGTCCTAAGTCAATTTATGCAACATCCAAAGCAATCACACTTGGAGGCAACTATGAGAGTGGTGAAATATATAAAAGGGTCACCATGAAAAGGAATATTATTGAAGAAGGGATCATTAGAAGAGATTTCAGCCTATTGTGATTCTGACTGGGCAGCCTGCCCAAACACCAGAAGATCAGTGACAAGCTATGTCATTAAGCTTGGTGAATAACTGATTTCCTGGAAGTCCAAGAAGTAACAGACAATAAGTAGAAGTTCTGCAGAAGCAGAGTATAGAAGCATGGCAGCTGTTAGTGCAGAATTGGTATCGCTAGTTGGATTTCTGCTTGAGAATACTTTCCTCTACCATAATCCACTTCTCTTTCAGATCTTTTTCACTGTTCTTCAATCCCTCTGAGTGATTAGGGATTCTCATTTCCAATTGTACTTGTTGTAGTTTCTCTCGAATAGCTTGGATCATTTTAGGAATTCTATTATACTCCTCAACATTTAACTGCTTCGATCCTTTTTTCAGCCTCTTTAACTTCATCCAAATTCTTTGCATAGCAGGCCTCAGCATGCTAACTTCCCAAGTATCTTTGACTTGACTTTGAAACTCCTTATGCTCAGCTAGGTTATTGAAGAACTTGAATAGTTTAGGCATAGGTTGGTGATCATGTTCAAAGTAAACACAAACAGGGGTATGATCAGAGAAGAGAGGATCCTGCAGTACCACCTCTAACTGTGTCATATTCATCATACATCTAGCATTAACTAAAGCTCTGTCTATTCTGCTATATACATGATTGTTTGTCCACGTAAATTCTCTACCAACTGTTTTAAGTTCTGTCATTCTTGTGTTCTCTAGGAAATCAGAGAAATATCTAGTTTCTGCCTCCATAACAGGGTTACCATTATACATATCTTCAAAACTTTGAATGGCATTATAGTCTCCCATAACAATCCAAGGTCCATGTAACTCATTATGCAGTTGTTCCAACTCCTCCCACATGGCCTTTCTATGTTCAATGGTATGCAAACTATATACTGTTGTCATCCAGAATTCTTTATGACTTTGGTGTATGATAATCTTCCCAGTGATTAACTGCTCAGAACAACTATGAATGGCAAAGTCCAGTACTCCAAGATCCCACAAGATCCATATTCTCCCTCTGTTACTAGCCACATAATTATCTTTCCACTTTCAATTCCTAGAGACTTTTTGGATAGTTTTCTCTGTCGTAGGTTGTTTCACCTTGTGCTCAATTATTGCTATCAACACTACTTTATTGTCTCTAAGATATTTCTTTATTTCTCTTTGTTTATAGACTTTATTCAAGCCTCTAACATTCCATGATACTATATTCATCTTGGTATAAAAGGATCATCTGTCTCCTGCATCAATTCCCACTTACTCAAGCTGATAGGCCCCAAGCTTACTTGTGCAGGCACCTGAGAACTTGATGGATCAATGGTATTGAAACCATTGGATGTGCTCACCCCCATGTTCTTTTCCACATTTCTTAAGCCATTTGACACAGACTTGTTCTTAACAGTCTTCCAACCTTCATCATCTGCATTCATTGCTGGACTTTGTGAAGAGTTCAGTGGCTGTACATTTTCAATTCCCTTCTGCTTCTCATCCTGTACTTGAGTTTGTGGAATAGCATCCTTTTGTATGCCCTGATCCCTTTGTGTACCCCCTTCCTCATGCCCTATTCTCCTCCGGAATTGTTGAGGCTTCTGATTTTTCCCCTTTATTTGTTTTGGCAGAGCTTCTTTCTGTGGTTCCTGGAACACATGCCCTAGTTGCAAGCATTTATTACAATACATAGGAATCAAATCATACCAAACTTCCTGTTCGAATTCCATTCCGTTTGGATCTTCCACTATGATCTGTTTTGGGAGAAGTCTAGTAATATACATTTCAACCAAAATTCTGGCATATGATATACGTTCAACCTTAGTGGTACAAGCATTAGCATATATAGGAACACCCAATGTACTACCAATTCTTCTTAGCGAGTCATCCTCCCAGCAATTAAGTGGCAGCTTAGGAAGTTGAATCCATAGTGGGATGGTCTTCAATACTTCATTTGCAAAATCAAAAGCAGCATTCCACATTTTAACCACAACTGGTTTGCTATTCATCGTATAAGGTCTAGAATACAGCACATCTTTATCCTCCATAGTAGCAAATTTACCACAAAATACCCATCATTATGAAGGTATATTGAGGGTTTAGCAACAAAATTCCATTGGAATGTGACAAATCTTTCAAATGCAGCTATAGTAGGCGTTTCACCCACTACATACACTATTACAACCATTTTCCATCGCTCAGTAGCTCTCTCAACCACCTCTTTGTCTAATTTGGCCACTTCAACTCTATTCTTAATCGTAGGAGCTATGTAATGTAGATTCATACCTCTAGTAGCCATCTTGTTCTCAGCAAATAGATTCTTCCATTTTGTCGTTGCAAATGGCTGAGCAGGTAGCTCCAATTTCCTCTGAGCTCCAGGCTCTCCTGTTCCCCTGTCACCTCATGTTTGTTTAGGTCCTTCAATTATGACAGTTGCACTCTTACTCTGCATAGATTGTACTGAATTTGAATACCCAAAATCAAGAAGAGGTGCAACAGGAAATCATTCAATTCTAAAAACAACTTCTAGGATCAGCAGTAGTGGAAATTCCAGCTATTGAACCTGAAGTAATGAAGATAGGGAATGTGTTGACAAGAGATCAACAATTGAAGCTAATAACTCCCGTGACTAAGGAACAGATCTACCAGGATCTATAAAGTATAGAAGATTTCAAAGCCCCAGGGTGTGATGGATATAATGCTGTATTTTTTAAGAAGACATGGGGAATTATAGGAGATGAAGTAGTTGAGGTAGTACAAGAGTTTTTCAGAACATCTAAGGTTTACAAGCCAATTAATTGCACCACAATGACTTTGATACCAAAAGTGCAGAATCCATCTAGAATAGCTGAGTTCAGACCAATATCCTGCTGCACCATCATATATAAAATCATTTCCAAACTCATTACTAGCAGACTACTAGAGGTAATGGATTATCTGGTAGATGATAGTCAGTCTGCATTTGTTCCTGGAAGGGTAATATAAGATAATATTATACAAAGTCATAAACTAGTTAAAGGGTATAACAGGATGTCTATCTCTCCAAGATGCTGTATGAAGATTGATATGAGGAAGACATATGATTCTGTGGAGTGGTGCTTTCTAGAACAGATTCTAATTCAACTGAATTTCCCAGAGATCTTCATTCAATGGGTCATCAAGTGTGTCACTACAGTCTCCTATTCCATTCTCATTAATAGGAATCCTATGAAGCCATTCCCAGCAAAGAAATGACTCAGATAGGGGGACACTATGTCCTCTTTCCTATTTGTTCTAGCCATGGAATATTTCACAAGAGTTCTAAAGGGGATGAAGGAGAATAAGGACTTTAAATTCCATCCTAAGTGTGCAAAGTTGAACATAGTACAACTTGGTTTTTCAGATGACCTTCTACTGTTTTGTAGAGGTGATATGGCTTTTGTGAAAGCTTTGTATGCTTGTTTTCAGATGTTCTCAAGAGTGTCAGGCCTGGAGGCAAATATAGAGAAAAGCAGTATTTACTTTGGTGGAGTTAATCAGCAATTGCAGCTTGACATACTTGACCACCTTGGTTTCTTAAAATGAGAACTTCCTATAAGATACTTAAGGGTACCTCTTAGCACAAAAAGACTGTCCTTGGCTCAATGTAAGCCCCTAATTGATAAGATAATAGGCATGGTCATAAGCTGGACATCAAAGATACTGTCTTATGCAGGGAGACTTCAGCTAATCAAGAGTGTTCTCTTCTCCATCCAAACATTCTGGTCTCAAATATTTACCCTACCAAAGAAGCTGATTCAATTGATCGAAAGTGTATGCAAAAGATTCTTATGGACAAGAGGAGTAGATAATTCAAAAAAGGCACTAATTGCGTGGGATAAAGTCTGTATTCCAAAAGTTGCAGGGGGACTAAATATCATGGATATTCAAGCTTGGAACAAGGCTGCTATATGCAAACTACTGTGGAATGTTTATACCAAAAAGGATAAGTTATGGGTGAAGTGGATACATTGCTACTATGGGAGAAGAACCACACTGTGGATGAGTTAACCTAAGCAAGCATCTTGGATTGTATAGAAGATCTTAAAAGCCGCAAAATACCTGGAAGAAGTGGGACTATAAGAGAAGGAATTCATACTGATAAGGACCTTTTATATTCAAAGAATGTACAGGAAGCTTCGAGGTGAGTTCCCTAAATGCTCTTGGAGAAAACTGATATGTAACAACTACGGGGCTCCTAGATGGGTGTTTATACTGTATCTAAACTTACAAGGGATATTGCAAACAAGAGATAGAATAGCTAAATGGAGTCAGATTGAAGACTTGACATGCCCATTGTGTGCTAGAGAACCAGAAACAGTTGAGCATCTATTCTTTAAATGTGAAATGACATCGCAAATGTGGGAGAGATTATTGGAATGGCAGGGAATCAAAAAGAGAGCTCAAGGATGGTCTGAAGAAGTTCAATGAGCAGAAGTTCATGCTAAAGGACAATCAACAATGGCAAATATGTATAGATTATGCATGGCAGCGTGTGTCTACCATATATGGATGGAAAGGAACTTGAGGATATTTTAAGGCAAGTCCAGGACAAAGGAGATCATCTTACGATTGATAACACAAGAAGTCCATAGTCGAGGAAATCAGTATAAGAAGCTAACTAGGAAGTTGCAAGCTATGTAGTGGTACCCTATAGATTGAGGTTAGTCTTAGTTGTTTTCATTCTTATACTCAATGATAGAGTTTGATGAGTATAGGACTTGGGGCATGATGTCCAAGTTCCTAGTAAAACAAGTGTTGTAATGTTATATTTGGTTTGTGAAATAAAAAATTTACTTACCAAAAAATAATTCCACCTAGTAGCTATTTCTTCAGGCATGAGTCTTGATTTTAGTCCATACTGTACATATTTTTCCTTAAATGCATTCAATCTAACACTTCTATTATTTCCTTGAATTACACCAACAACTCTTCTAATTAGGAAGTGGTGGGTGTAGATGTAATTTTAATATTGTAATAGCAGAATTGTTGTTAGAAGCATTATCAAATGACATACACAAAAAATTTTCTAAAAGATTGTAAAATATAGCAACTTCATGGATAATATTACTTATAAATGCACCAGTATGACTTTGATCTTCATCATATTTAAAAGTAATAATACGTTTTTGCATACAAAAATTATCTTCTATCCAATGGCATGTAACAGTCAAATAATCATTTCCATTAACAGCACGACCAATATCAGAAGTAAGAGAAACTCTACAAGAAAGAGTTGCGAACAAATAACGGATATATGTCTGATATTGTCCAAAAAGCCGAAATATATCAGCTCTACAAGTACTTCTAGAAATACCTTTAAACAAAGGGTTATAAATTCTTTGAATATAAGTAACAAGATATGGTGAAGCAGCAAAACAAAAAGGTAAACAACCTAAAACAATCATTTTAGCTAATTCTTCCCGATCTTTCGCTATATTGTATTTACCCATTAAAACGCCAGTACCCGGGTTAAGTTTTTGTTGCCCACCTTCCTCATCAGCACCCCATGCAATAGGGTGGTTATCTACCATGTGCCTACGAAGTTGACCCGTTCCACTTGCTTACCTCCGGTCTCATGTTTATAAACTTTCTTACAAATTTGACATCTTACATAATTTTTATCTTCTTCTAGTCTTTCAAAAAAATTCCAACACTTACTTCTTAATCTTCGATTCCTCTTAATAGGGAGGGGAGGCCTACCTGTATTACCACGACCTCCACCCCTAATATTTTGAGTTTTACTAGCATTACCAGGTTTATCTGATGGCGTTTCAAGATTATCAAGTGATTGAATATCATCTTAATTATCATCTATACCATAATTTTCTTGAAGTTGCTCATAATCTACATTTAAATTTTCAGGTGAACTTTCAGAAATATGTGTAAAGCTACTAGAAGAACCATCACCACCTCTTGATTTTTAAAAGTTTTACTCTTACTACTACTACCCCTACTAGTACACGCTTTTTTGGCTGCTCTAAATATATTCATTATCTAAATTAAATTAAGAAATTAAATTAATAATTCTAAATAATAAAATAAAAATATACACCAAAGAAGAGAAAGAGATGGAATGAGTGTACCGGGATTCCGGATGCCGCACTAAATTTGATATCAAACTTCAGTTGATAGACTGATACTTGATATTTGTTGATATTGAATATTGATACCACACTTCATTTGAATACTTGATATTTGATAATTATAATTCTGTAGAGACTAGAGTAAATATTTGATGAAACTTGAAATAATAAGTAATTGAGAATTTAAGAGCAATAAGCAATATTATCAAGAGAGAATTAGAGTAGTAAGAGAGCAAAATGTGAGGGAAAAAATGAAGAACAACGGGGGCTGTTTATAGTTTTTAAAAGGTTAAAATTATAATTTATCAATTATTAGGGGTGGGGGGCTATTTTCTTAAGAAGGTAGGCTGAAATGGCCATTTTTGCAAAAAATGGGCGTTGCCCAACGATCATTTTTGAATTTGACCGTTGGCAACAGTAAAAAAAAAAAAAAAAAAAAAAAAAAAATTACAACGGTAACCGGGCTAAATAGGGTTGTAGCTCGGTAAAAACTCGGTAAAGGGGAACCATGCTAACTGGGTTCCAGGGCACCGATTACCAAAAATTATTCGTTCCCGCCCGGCTCCCCCAACCCTCCCCAACCCGTCCCATCCCGTATTGTACCGGGATGAACCGAGTCGAACCGGGATGAACCGAGTCGAACCGAGCCGTTATTGTGCTGGCCCGACCCGATTAACAAGTATAGATTATCCTCCCCTCAAGGAATTTTTAGGAGTTTCAAATGTTAAAATTCTTCGAAACATGTGGAGTACTAATTGTCTTTCACTTGTCAGAAGCTCTCACGTCGTAGAGTCGATACTGTTATTGCTCAAAGGACCTTCTTTTCCTATTCTTTCCCCCTTTTCTAATTAACTAGTCTCTAAGCATGCGCATTGTGCGTGTTCCCCTATCAGTAAATAATATAAAAGTTAAAATATTATATCAATATTATCAAAAAATTATATTTGAGCTGCAGAAGTTAAAGACAAAAGTATAAGGTTTTGATATCTTATGGTGATCTGAATATATGTGTTAGCTTTGCTTCAAAAAGCCAAAACACCTTGAAGGTGTCAAGAAAACTATATACTTCGAGTAAAAACTTAAGAAATTATACCGAAAAACTATTTGTCTGAACACAAAAAAAAAAAATGTTTCAGTACATAGGCTCTCTTATCTTTGTAGCAAGCGTCATTAAGCTTTCATTGGCATAAGCGCCTTCTCATTGGTGGTGCAACACCAATGATTATCCAAAGGCACCACCATATCCAAGAACTAATTAGATATGTCATTCTTATCGGCAAGTGATTTGTTAGGCTCATAAGGTGACTCAAAATTGCAAAGTTATTTTGTTGCATTACCACAGGCAAAAATAATGGCAGTGTTTGTCTTCCTTATTTATCCAGGGAACTATAGCCAGTAAACATTACTACTATGATTTAGTCTGTTTACACAACAATATGATAATAAAATATTATAAATTGCATTTTCATGGGGAACTCAAAGCAAAAATTCTATGGATTTAATTGGGAATACAAAAAGTATAAGACGTTTTTAATAGACCAGATACGTTAAGTAGTTATCAAATTAACAATAGTAAAAATGATTATGAAAATGAAAATGACTAAAAGAGTTTCACTGGATTATTAGATGAATTTGGTTGGGAATAAAAATTATTTCACAAGTTTCAAAAAATATTTCATACATTACATTGTATTTTATGTTTTCATATAAAGTAGAATAAATAAAGATCCAATTTATTATGAGATATTCTTACCTTTTGGTACAAAAATGTTATAAAGTGGTGGTTAAATTAAGGGCAAAAATGTCGGTTAACTTTTAATGGATATTTTGGTCTTTTAACCTTACACTTTGGGCTTCACACTTCACCAAAATAATGTGGAAGAAAAAACTAAAAAATAAAAGAAGATTATAAAACAAAAATCCGGTTAAGAACCGGGGGAGTGAAGTGCACTCGCATCCACTTTTAAGCATACTATTTAAAATATATACATAATGTACAATATGCTTAAAGATTAGCTAATTCGTCCAAACTTCAGAACTAAGTATCCTGAATTTTTGAGCCGCTAATTTAGAAGTGAGGACTTAGTGTACTAAATTTTTGAGCTGCTAATTGAAATTTAGGTCTAAGTATCCGGAATTTCTGATGCTAAATTAAAATTCAGGACTAACTGTCCTAAATTCCTAAAGTGTTATTTTAAAATTCAGGACATTGAAATTCGAATTCAAGACATAATTTTTGCCACTAAAGAAAGCCTTAAACCCAATGAGAGCATAGAAGAAAAGAATTCATATGGCCGTTAAGCCCCTAATTTAATCCCTTGGCTCTTGGCGCCATGACATGCAATGAATCAAACTGTTTCTAATCTCCTCCAAAGTTGCAAAACCCAAAAGAGTTTAAAATCAATCCACGCTCACTTATTAGTATGCGGATCCATTGCCTTATCAGATCTTGCTCTGAACAAATTCATTCGTCTTTATTCACGCTTTGGTGCGACGGATTATGCTCGCAAGCTGTTCGATGAAATTACTGAACCAAACCCTTTTCTTTGGACTTCAATGATTCATGGGTATGTTGAAAATTCTCAGCACATTGAAGCTTTTTCTCTCTTCCGTGATATGCGTGACCGAGATGTTGTGCCATTGAATTTCACTATATCGTCCATACTCAAGGCGTTAGGACGGCTGAAATGGTTGAGATATGGTGAGGGGATGTTTGGGCTTATCTGGAAATGTGGGTGTGGCTTTGATCTGCTGGTGCAAAATGCTTTAATTGACTGCTTTATGAGATGTGGGGAAGTTGATTGTGCAAGACGACTATTTGATGGGATGGAGGAAAAGGATATTATTTCTTGGAACTCGATGGTATCAGGGTATGTGAGTAATGACAGAGTCGAAATTGCCCGAGAGTTGTTTGATGGCATGGTTGAGAAAAATGTGGTGTCTTGGACTAGTTTGGTATGTGGCTATGTTAGGAAGGGAGATATGGTAGAGGCAAGGAATCTTTTTGAGGCTATGCCTAGTAAGGATTTGGCTGCTTGGAATGTGATGATTTCAGGGTACGTGGATATTGGTGATGTGCAGGCCGCGAGTTTTCTGTTTCAGGCCATGCCTATTCGTGAAACTGGAACATGGAATTTGATGATATCAGGGTATTGTAAGGTAGGCGAGCTAGAAAGAGCAAGGCACTACTTTGAACAAATGCCCTGTAGGAATGCGGCGTCATGGACTATGATGATAGATGGCTATGTTAAGTCTGGGAACTTGCATGAAGCAAGGAGTTTATTTGATGAAATGCCGGAGAGAAATATTATTACATGGTCTACCATGATCGGTGGCTATGCTAAGCATGGGAAGCCTTCTGCTGCTTTGGAATTGTTCAAAAGCTTCAAAACGCAGAGTCTTGAGATGGATGGTACTTTTATTTTGAGTATTATCTCAGCTTGCTCTCAATTAGGGATTGTAGATGCAGCTGAGTCAATTATGAACAATGATGTGGAATCCAGATATTTTTCTGATACACGTGTTGTTAACAGTTTAATAGACCTGTATGCAAAATGTGGAAATATTGAGAAAGCCTCGCAAGTGTTTGAAGTGGCAGATATGAAAGATCTACATTGTTATAGTACAATGATTGCTGCATTTGCTAATCATGGCTTAGTTGAAAAAGCAGTACATTTGTTTGAGGATATGCAAAGAGAGAACATAGAGCCTGATGAAGTAATTTTCCTCGGAGTTTTGAGTGCTTGCAACCATGGAGGACTTATTAATGAAGGGAGGCGGTACTTCAAACAAATGACTGAAGAATTCAAAATTCAGCCCACAGAGAAACATTATGCATGCATGGTTGATATCCTAGGTCGCGGTGGGTTCCTTGAGGATGCCCATGAGATGATATTGAGCATGCATATGGCGCCCACATCGGCTGTTTGGGGTGCAATGCTCGCAGCTTGCAATGTTCACCGCAATGTCCAGATGGCTGAAATTGCAGCGTCTGAGTTATTCAAGATAGAACCTGAAAATTCCGGAAATTACATTCTCTTGTCCAACATTTATGCTGATGCGGGGAGATGGTGCGATGTAGCTAGAGTAAGGGCAATGATTAGAGAGCATCACATCAGAAAAAACCGGGGATCTAGTTGGATTGAGTTGGATTCTGCTGTGCATGAGTTTGTAATGGGAGATGTGTCCCATGTGGCTGCAGACAGGATATACTTCATGCTGAGTCTGATGAATGAAGATATGAAGCTTTCAGGATATACCAAAGATAAAGATCGGAATCCAATTTCTACTTTGTACCCCTCATTTCTATCTCTTACAAGTGATATTGAAATTGATGAGCAACTGTTTTGATTGATTTCTGTCTCAACATGCCTAGGTACTTCAAATGGATATAGAATTTGAATACTAGCTTTCTTTAATTTTGAAATTGTTTAGGATTTGTAGCCTGACCCTTAATGCAGTATTAGTTAAACAGGCTTGTATGTTTTTTAAAGAATCGTTGAATATGCTTCACGTTAAACCTCAGTCTAATGGTTTCATATGAAGTCCGAGGGACCTGAAATCTATACAATCTCTCATATATGGGTGAAAATCACTTACATCCCCCAAGTTTACTCTGAAAATCAGATTTATCCTTCAACTTTAAACAATTGTCATTTTCATCTTTTCATCCTACGCAATGTCTATTTTACCCTTGATATTTTCGACTCCTCATATATGTAATGCCTTTTTTATATTATTTAGATATTTTTTAATGCAAGTATTTATTTTATATGCTAAAAATATTATATCTTATTATATATTTGATCTAAATTCACTAACATTATAAATAAAATATTCATAATATAAATTTATTACAAAATGTATTGTTACTTTATTATTATTATTATTTTAATATTATGTATATTAAAATGCATATAATGTATGTCGGTGTGTGTGATTTTAAGTTTCACTATTTTTTTTATTCTCTATGTGTATATAAATTTTTGAGTTCTGATTGTTATTACTAGATTTTTTCTAAATTATAATTAAAGTTCATGTAAAGTGTAATAGATAATTGTTGCAAAGTTATTATAAAAGTTACCTCTATTTTCGCCCATTATATTTTTATTACCTGTATTGTATAATTTATAAATTTTTCACTCTCTTTTATTCTCAATTTTGTAAATAGATTGAGTTTTGATTGCTATTAATAAAATTACTGATACGAGTAAATTATTTATTGTAATTTTTTCCCTTATTTATTTCACTATTGAACATCATTAACTTATATGCTTGACTACTACTTCTCACTTTTTTGGTTTCAATTTTTTTTTTATTTGTCTATAGACTAGAGATAAGTCGATAACATAAATTAAAATTAAAAAAATCATTATATTAAAGAATTAAAATAAGAGATAAAAATTATAGAGGGTAAAATAAGCATTTTAAGAAGTCACTATTGATATGTGGAGCAGAATGATAATTGTTCAAAGTTGGAGAATGAATTTAATTTTTAAAGCAAACTTGGGGATGTAAATAATTTTCACCCCTCATATATGCAAGTGATATTATCATATCATCATCATTTGGAAGAACTAGATATATCAATCAAATTGATCAAGATTTAAAAGATTTCCTTACGTTCTTGAACTTTATATGCTCAATTAAACTAAAACACACTAAATGAAACGGAGGGAGTACTATTTATCATAAGCCTAAAGTGTGATACTATGGCCAATCTCATATATGGAGCCCGAGGAAGGATATTCAAGAATCAGCTTGAGATACAAATCATATGGAGAGTGAAAAAAGGAAATTCATCCCTTTGATGTGATATTTGGACATGATTATGCTAAATTTGGAAATGTTGCAGGCTAAATATATGCAACTTAGTAAATCATTTCATATCCTTCTATAAAAGCATCTTACGAAGGATGAAAATTTGTGTGAATTAAAAAGGTAAAAATATGAAAGGTTACCCTTACTAGTGCTAAGTAATTTTATCTATCTTTTACCACTTTTCACTCTTTAAGAAAAAAAATCTTACTTTACCGACAAAGGTTATGATGGAGTTGGTAAGTATTCATTCATCCTTAACCAGATGTATCAGGTTCGAGTCTTGAGTATAGAGTCACTTTTGTTAGGGAGCACTTTACCCCCCAATATGGGATTTTCCGGCGCGAATTCAAATTTAGTCGGGCCCCAATGCGGATACCGGACACTGGGTGAAAAACCCAAAAAATATCTTAACTTTTAATCACAAAAGTGGAGTATTTGTTTAAACTACAGTTTATCTCTCTTTAAACATTTCAATCAACTAACATTCCACAAACAATAAGGGTAAATGAATGATTTTTGTTTTTTTTAAACGTCAAATAAACAAATTCAATATGATGAATTGATACTTGGGAACGGAGATAGCAGTGTATTTAGACAGTAACCAAACAATAAGATCAGATATAAAAATCAATATTGTAGGAATCATGATGAACTTATCTCGCCTTTTTCAGCTAACTTATTTTTGCTTAATGTAGGTAGCACAAGGCTCCAAGCTAACTTAATTTTTTAAGCCTTAAAGTTGGTCAGAAAATTAAAAGATTAGCAAAGCACAAGAAATATTCTTAATTGCTCGTAAAGATTCTCAAGAAAAAGTTTTAATTATCCGATAAATGTCTGATAACCACCACTAGCTAACAAGATGGTTAATAATAAAGCCTCGGATACTTTAATCTAAAAAGTCGGAAGAAATTCAAAAATAGTCCCATTTATAAGTGGTCATTCAAAAATAGCCACAATTTCAAAAGTCATCGAAATTTAGCCAATTTTTTATGTAAATATAAATTTGAACGAAAACATTGTTCGAAATCCGGAAAATACTCCAGCATAATATACTGGAATTCCAGTATAATATACTGGAGTTCCAGTATATTATACTGGAGTCAACAAAGTATACCGGTCCAGCATAATATACTGGAAGTTCTTAAACAGATGCACCGAACTCCAGTATATTATGCTGGACCGGTCTCTGTTGCAGCAAAATCGTGACTATTTTTTAATTACTTGGCAAACACCGACTATTTTTAAATAATCAGTCCGAAAATTAGTTAGCCCGTGCTATTTTAAGTCTAAACCCACTCCTCTTTGCTACAAATATTATTAAAGGACTCATAAAAATACTCTACTAATGATAAGTTCGATAAAAAGATACTAAAAACTAACTAAGGGATCGTGTTTATCCTGATTTTTTCATTATATGCGGATTTTTTATTCGCTGAAAGGACAATATATTTAGCGTAATTGATTATTTTTTTATAAAAGAAAAATATAATTATTCCATGTCTGACTAGTCTTTTTTTTTGGAGAAAAATATTTTGACTTCTATAAATTAAGAATCATTCCTTCTCATTCAGTACATTCCACAATAGCCATAAGAGGTTTGATAGTCTTTTTTAGGAGGAGAATTTCGGGACAAATGTTAGCATGTCACTTATGTGTGCATCTTTGAGAGGTTGTTCTCTCTATATTTTGTACTATCTTTTATATAGTGGATTGATCATCTCTGCCTCTGAATGTAGGTCAATTGACCGAACTACGCTAAATATTTGTTGAGGTTTTGCTTTTAAGATGAAATAGTCTTAAAATGAGGGTGAATGCGAAATGGAGGGAAAATAAAATTTTTGAGTAAAATTTTAAGTTTTCCCTTCTTGACAATGAGACATTGTCCCATATTGGAAGAGGAAAAGATTTTTGGTGGGTATATATATAATTGCTCTTCTTGTAGCTCTTAAAGAGTTAAGAAGAAAGCAAGCCTCGCGTCGTCGTCGTCGCTCGCTCGCTCGACTTCGGCTTCGGCTTCGGATTTGGTCAAATGATTGATTGATTAATTTTTTGGACCAAATTTATTTGTTAATAGTAAATATTAACGTAAGATTATCCGCATTTGTAACGGATATTTTTTAATCCGTGTATTGACCACAAGGCAGCCGCCTAATGCTCTTCCCACCATGAATGTGCTTGCTCCACAAACAAGCTAATGCTTGCTCCACCATGGAGGGTGGACGATTGTTCTTCTTCAACACTGGCTGCTATATATATGTGCAGCAGCTGTTGAAGAAAGACACACACAATACACAAGACACAAAACTGAAATCGCTCAACAGATTTGGCTATACATTGCACTCCTTCCTCTCAGCATTTCCATACGATTTTCTGAGTTTCTACTCCTTCGTTCTGCATTGTTTTAACTTCAAACAAAGCAACTGTAAGTGTGATTTGCTACCGAACTTTGTGTTCGCTGAAACACTGGGGTTTGAAGTACCGCTACACCAGTGTGTGATTCGTTCTATCCTGGGAGGAAATAATCCATTACCTTGGGTACTAGGAGGGGATTAAATTCCTTAAGGAAACACTGTGAATTCAGTGGGCTCGAATTTATTACTGTTTCATTACGATAACTTATATTTTTCAGAATTATTATTTACAAATACAGCAATATTGGCGGGACTAACAATCTTAAGGAATTTAATATTTATTTCTGTATTCGTGTTATTCTTATTATTCTGCAAACTAAAATCTTTGTGGTTTTGTGTACTCCCATTTTGGAGAGTAAAGCCTTCGTGGCGTTTTATTGGAGATTAAAATCTACGTGATTTTTACTCCAGTTTGAAAACGTTTGTTTGTGTCATTCTTTTATAGAAAAAATGACGACTGAAAGCGAAAACCAAGTTGTTCCGATGGTGACTCCCAACGCATCGACAAGCCGAACACCGGCGTTGGCACCGGCAGAAAAACCCGAAAAATTTTTCGGGATTGATTTCAAGCGCTGGCAGCAGAAGATATTCTTCTACTTAACTACGTTATGTCTATAGAAGTTCATCAAGGAAGATGTTCCTGATCTGCCAGATAAAACTCCAGAGAATGAACGCTTTATCGTGATTGAAGCGTGGAAGCATTCTGATTTTTTATGTAAGAATTATATTCTTAGCGGACTGGATGATAATCTGTATAATGTATACAGTGGCGTGGAGACGTCAAAAGAAATTGTGGATTTGAAATATTGAAAAGTAAATGCATCTACGAACAAGCCAAGGTAATTCAACATCTACTATTTATGCATAAAAAATAATTTTGACTTTATATTTATAGTGTAATTTTTCAACGAACAAACCTCCTTCTGCCACCCTAGCTCAATCCTTATTTCCAAATATATAAATTATGTCTCTAAAAACTTAAAAATATTATGATATATTACTCAAAGTAACAATATAAAATAAGAAAAAACAAGCTAAGAGATATAGAGAGAAAGAGAGGAAGAGAGATTCTTATTTCTTCTTCAATTGTGTGTATTTTCCTATCTATTACAAAGCCTT